ATTCAGTCTTAAGTGATCATCTTTAAAAATGATGGTGGCTATAGGTTTTCATTTTCCTTTCTATTCTTATTTTTCTAAAAGTTTAAAGAGTGAATAGACATGAGATTTGCCAATAACCTTCTATCGTTAAATCACGATTTTTATTTGACATATAAATATGATGAACAAGCCTAGCATAACTTTATTATTCAATTTGAGGTATATTATTGTTTTTAAGAAAACCTTTTATATTGGCCTGGGAAGGTGGCTCAGTGGTAGAATGCTTGCCTTGCATGCATGAGGCCCTGGGTTCGATTCCTCAGCACCACATAAGCAAAAAGAAAAAAGCCGGAAGTGGCGCTGTAGCTCAAGTGGTAGAGCGCTAGCCTTGAGCTGAAGAGCTGAGGAACAGTGCCCAGGCCCAGAGTTCAGGCCCCACGACCAGACCCAAAAACAAACAAACAAAAAACAAAGAAAACCTTTTATAGTGCCATACATTACTTGTAAAAAGAGGATTTCATTCATTAGTAATCACTTCCTAAATTATTACGCTGACTTGCAAAATGATTTTTTAATTTTACCATTCCTTCTGCACTTAGCATTCATCTGTAGTTTTCCTTCTTTTATGCTCTCTTTATGTACTTATAAAATTTAGTGCTTCAACTTGCTATAATCTATGATTATCATTTTTTTAAAAATTGCTTGTTGCTGGGGCCCCAGTGCCTCACACCTATAATCCTAGCTACTCAGGAGGCGGAGATCTGAGGATCATGGTTCAAAGACTCTTATCTCCAATAAACCACTAGAAAACCAGAAGTGGTGCTGTGGCTCAAGTGGTAGAGTGCTGTGCTAGCCTTGAGCTGAAAAGCTCAGGGACAGCACTCAGGCCCAGACAGAGTTCAAGCCCCACGACCAAGCCAAAAAGAAAAAGAAAAAAAGGAAGGAAGGAAGGAAGAAAGAAAAAAAGAAAGAGCAAAATTGCTAGTTTCATTGGCTTAGTGATGACCAATGGAAGCCCATTCCACTGTGTTCTTTGGTTCCGTGGGTATGATCTAATTTTATCTGAGTATAAAAAAAAGACTTGTCAGGCTCCTTTTGTACTCATCTTGTCCAAGAATAAGAATTGGCCTCTTTGACAATGAACCTGTCTAGCTTCCAGTTCTCTGTCTCCCTGATCCAAATCGATCCCTTCTGTCCTGTTTGGGGATGCCAGAGTTGAATCTTGCCAACATGTTTCTTTGCGAGCTGGCATGCTGTTGAGCTTTGTCAGTAGAGGGCGCTGGAGGGACACTGCAGAGCTGGTCCTTTCAAGCTGGTCTGCTGTCCTTTCTTGTAAGGTTCTGCTGCCAGCATTGTACACACAGAGTACCAAGGGTACTTAGTGGCCAGCTCCCTTCATGCTCAGGAATCCTGACCTTGGTTTTCTGCTCACCAGCTTTGGCCCTCTGGCCTCCTTGAGGTAAGTATTCTATTCTATTCTATTCGTTATTTTTGTAGGTTGTAGGGCTTGAACTCTGGGCCTGGACGTTGTCCCTGAGCTCTTCAACTCAAAGGTAGCGCTCTACCACCTGAGCTACAGTGCCACTTCCGGTTTTCTGGTGGTTTACTGGCGATAAGAGTCTCACGAACTTTCATGCCCAAGCTGACTTTGAACCATGATCCTCAGATCTCAGCCTCCTTAGTAGCTAGGATTATAGGTGTGAGCCACCGGCACCCGGCAAGTATTCTATTTAACAATCTGCCCACCACTTTGGCCCAGCTGTGCTGGTGACTGTGCCCTGGGCTTCAGCTACATCCTTTCTAGTGATTGTGAATCTTAACTTTCAGGAGAGGATCTCCTTTGCAAAATCTTTGAGTATTCTCATCTCAAATTTAATCTTATGTATGGTGTGATGAAAATTGTCATTGATCCTCTCAGGCTAACTCCATATTTCTTGTTAATACTACTTGGTAGCAAATTTTTCTTGCTCAAATTACTGTTGTGTTTTCTATCTTTCTATCTGATGGAAAAGTAGTACAGGAGTGGTCTTTGAATGGAACCTGGATTGCAAGATGTCATTCTAGTGTTTAGTTGCCCTGCCTTTGGATTTGAGCACAAGGATAGCTAGCTAAGCAGCCTGCATGTGGGAAATGAATGAATGTATTCTATGGCCTATGGGGAGAGCACAATTAATCGCTGTTACTTTTGGTTGCTTGACACTGGACCACTCGAGCAAGCTGTATTACCAGCTCCGCCCACTGCATTTTGCCTGGTGACATCTACAGAGATTGTCTCATGTGTTTGTCTGATATGTTAATAGTTTCCTTTAAAATTGAAATATTGGGGGGATTATTTTGATGGTGTAAGATATAGATCCAATTCGTTCTTTGTCCAAAGACAAATTCTAGGTGCTCAGGGATCTGATATCCAACCATTTAATCTTATTTATTGAAAACGCCATCTTTTCCCAAGTGGTATTAGATCCCATAATATGTCATGTCATTTCATATTGTCTGAATGTATGATGTTGTGTCATGTTATATATTAGAATAGATAGATATAGATTGGTACTTTCATACAGTAATTGACACATGAGCTTCAATCTATTTCTAGCCTTAGTGTTCTCTTCTATGGACAATTGTTCATGTGCCAGCACCACAATGCTTTTATTAGAGAGACTTTATAGTATATTTTAATATTCATGAAGGCTAATCTTCTCTTACTACTGTCATCTTTCATAACTTTTTCATATTCTTATATACTTATTTTCCAACTTTAGAATTAGCTTGCTTTATTCCTGGAAAAAAGTTTACTTTTACTTTTTACTCTTTTTTGTGTGCTAATCCTGGGGTTTGAACTCAGGGCCTGGGTGTTGTCCTGAGCTTTTCTTTTTTTCTTTTTTTTGGGGGTGGTCCGGTCTTAGCGCCTGAACTCTGGGCCTGGGCGCTGTCCTTCAGCTCTTCAGCTCAAGGCTAACACTCTACCACTTGAGCCACAGCACCACTTCTGGCTTTTTTTTCTGCTTATGTGGTGCTGAAGAATCGAACCCAGGACCTCATGCATGCAAGGCAAGCGCTCTACCACTGAGCCATCTTCCCAGCTTTTCTACTCAAGGCAGTGCTCTACCACTTGAACCATAGCTCCACTTCTGGTTTGGGGGGTAGTTTATTGAAGATAAGAATGTCCAGGACTTTTTTTTGCCTGGGCTGGCTTTGAACTGAAATCATTAAATCTCAGCTTCTTGAGTAGCTAGGATTACAGGCATGAGCTACCAGCCCTTGGCTTACTTTTATTGTTTATTGGAATCCTGTTTTTTATATAAACATATATATTACTTCAAGAGAACTAATGTATTTTAAATGTTTTATAGTCCTTCACCAAAATAAATGCTAGCTAGAATGGTTGTGTTCACCTATAGCTCCAAGCACTCGGGAGGCGAAGCAGGAAGCTCACGAGTTCAAGCTCAGCCTGGGATACATAGTAAGGCCCTATCTAAAAAAACAAAACAAAAACCCACCACAGATACAGCACATGCTATGTTGTTGGATTTTTCTGTAATATTTTAATTTTCCTAGCATACTTGTGGCACATTTCTTATTAAGCATTTTATCTTTTTGTGTCTGTATTAATGATGTATCTTCAAGTGTTACTGTTTATGTATTTTTGTGTAAGTCTTTCATACCACCTTATAGAATTGTTATTTCTAGCATCGATTCTGTGTTTGTGAGTTTGTCATTTACCTAGAGACATGAATTGATTATCTTACAGTTATTATGCACCTTATCATTAGCTTAGGTATTCAACAACATGGTACTCAGTTGATAGAGACTGAGGGCAGATTTGATACATCTTTGATACTAATGATAACGTCTCTATTGTGTTTCCACTAAATATGATGTTGCTTTCTGGACTGAAGCATAAACTATGTCATCATGTTAGAAAAAGTATCTTGTAATTTTTCTTTAATTTTATAAAAGTAGTAATAATAGTGAAGCATTAATGGCTTATGCCTATCATTCTAGCTACTTAGGAGCCTGAGATTGGATAATACTTGTTCGAAGCCAGTCTGGGCAGAATGGTCTGTGAGACTCTATCTCAAAATACTAAGCTGGAGATGTGACACAAATGATAAATAACTAGCTGAGTACACAAGCTGAGCAAGTAAGAGGCCCTGAGTTCAAATGCTGAAACTAACAAACTTCTGTCCACCACCCCTACCTCAACAGCAGCAAACCACCTGGGGACTGGAATTGTTTATCGCATCATATTCTCACAAGTATTTCTTTGCGAAGTCTCCATTGATATTGGTTTGGCCATGTTATCTATGAACTTGGATTAAAAATGGCAGTGTCTAAAGCATGAGCTCAATATATTAAGTTTCTTCTCCTGTCATGTTTCTATCATCAGAAAGGACATGCAGGAACGGGAGGTTGGGAGCACTGCTGATTCCACTCTAAGAGATACACAGTACAAACCTGAACTCACTGTTTCCTTGGGAAACTGGGAATAAAGGTCAGTACTAAATGCGGTAAGTCAACCAGATTATTGGGAATGTTTGCTACTCATTATTTCCAAAGCAAAAGCTAATTTTTTAAAATAGTCCCTTTGCCATCTAGAAATTTCTCACATAACATTTTCCTCATTGGATGGAGAAATATCAATAAATGAATAAGTAAAAAAAATGACTATATTCAACAATATTGTATTAAAACAGTTACCTTTGTGAGCCAGTGGCTCACATCTGTAATCCTAGTCACAAAGTTGAGATCTGAGGATTGCAACTCAAAAGTCAGCCTAGGAAGAAAAGTCTTGGAGACTCCTACATCCAATTAACCACCGAAAATCTGGAAGTGAAGCAGTGGTTCAAGTAGTAGAGCACTAGCCTTGAGTAAAAAAAAGTTAAAGAACAAGTGCCTGGGTACTGTGTTCAAGCCCAGAACTAGCACATATACACAACACAGACATTTAAAAAAAGTTACTTTTTGTGAATTCCAAGGCAAGCATGGAAAACCAATAAGAAAAAGCAATTAACACCAGCGAATTTGCTACATTCAAGGTAAATTTATTCACACAATGATCACAAGAAACTTAAAAACAGTTCTTATAAGGAGGTAAAATGCTATATAGTGTCTCTTTTGAAAGATTGAGATAGTATTTTGTTGGATTTTACACACATTTCTATTTATGATTGAGTAACAAACACTAAAATGTAGTGATTGTTGGAATTTTGATTGCTTGCATGGAAAGTATATGCTGAAGCTTTTAGGTTTAAAAGGTCTTACCAGAAACAACAAACTAATGATTAAAACAGTATTTCCACATACAAATATATTTACTCACTGCATTGAGAAATATGCGTTATACTTTTAATTCTCTATAATGTATTTTTTCTTTTTAATAAAATTAAAGCAAGAATTTTAATTCTCCTCTTTTTAATTGGCCTCCGAAGATGTACTGTCTAATTCATGAGAAATGCGAAAGTTCGGATGTTTATCCTCAATACTTCTAGGGTCTAGGACCAGCATGTCTTCCTGGCTAAGAAACTCATTGCTATGGAGCTTGTGGCTGACCTTTGAACTTCCCAGGCTGTCAGGCCCATCAGGCTTGTATTTGGATTTCTTAGATACAGAGAATTGATCACCATTATTGTGGTTGTTGTTGTTGTGTGATTCTGAACCTTTTGATTCTGAGCGGCGTAATTCTAAACCGTGTTGTTCCAACTCATGAGTGTCCCATTCAGTGGGGAACCTGATATGATGAGGAATGGGAATGACCTTGAGTGTATCATGGGGCTTGGATTCCCAGTGTGGGCTAAAGTCCTCGTGTGTAATATGAGGAATGGGGATGACCCTGAGTGTGTCATGTAACTCCTTGTGCTCCAAGTGTTCATCATGCGACTCCTTGCCTTCCTTGCCTTCCTTGCCTTCCTTGCCTTCCTTGCCCTCTTTGCCTTCCTTGCCCTCTTTGCCCTCTTTGCCTTCCTTGCCTTCCTTGCCTTCCTTGCCTTCCTTGCCCTCCTTGCCTTCCTTGCCTTCCTTGCCTTCCTTGCCCTCCTTGCCTTCCTTGCCTTCCTTGCCTTCCTTGTCATCCTTGCCTTCCTTGCCTTCCTTGCCCTCCTT